AAACAAACATACAAACAGTAGTAAAAAATAAATAAATTTTAGTTTATTTTTATAAATTGCCATTAAAAAATTTAACCTTTTAATGCCTTTTAGAAGCAAAGGCGAGAATGTAAAATTGCCTGATTTTTGCATATATGACTGCTTAAATGGCTGATTAATCAGTGATAATAATTAAAATAATTTGTGTAAACAAATTATCTGTTCTAGTATTAAGAGTACAAAATGTTACTCAAGGATTAATAAATATTGTTGAATGAATTAAAAACAAAGCTAGATGTACCTGGTTTGTAATATTTATGATCCTGGGTTTTTTTTTGTTTTAATTTGAAGACACTTTGTGTGAAAAACGAACTTACCTCTTTCTTAAAAAAGAAATGACATGGAAATTCTCAATTTTAAATTTTCGAAGGCAAATTATTTAATATATAAATTAAAACTTTCTAAATTTTAATTTAACAGCATTAAGAAATTTTCCCTCCTCAATGATATTTTTCTTTATAGGCTAATGTAGTAAACTAATGTTTAAACTAATACATTAGTTTATTAGCTGCAATAAACTAATTGTATTTTTTTATTAAAGTAATTTTTGATATTTGTAAAAAAACCTTGAAAAAATATCACTTAAGGATTTATATAATAAATTTATTTTAAGCACATATATAGTAAATTATATAATAAATTTATATTAAGTGTTAAAATATTTTTTATTAAAATCATCTTAATATCAGAAATAAGACACCACGTTCACGTAAGATATGAACTGTAAAGTCACTAACATATTCCATAAAATTCCAAAACCTGCACAAGGAATATATGTCGACTTCAGAAACCTAAATGTCTAAAACCTATTAAGGCAAAACATCATAAGTAGACTAAAGATTATTTGCCTTTTTAACAAAAATGGTGTATTTTAAAAGTTTTTGCAAATGAATTTCTTCTTAAATCGACTTAAGAAAGTGAAGTTTCACGGTTTTGCAAAAGGCATAACATCTTATGTCGGCTTACGATTATTTGCTTTTTTAGAATAATTTAAAAAATATCAAAAAAAAAAGGCATAACATCTTAAGTTGGTTTTACCATGTCTATAAAAAGAAAACGGAGGGGGCTAGAGACACCGGAGTCAAAGCAAAATATAGAGCTGGTATCCAAAAGTTCAAAAACGTCTGACAAACAAAAGCATTTTAAATGGACTTAAGATGCTTTGTCTTGCTGGTAGCGAATTATGTACATACCTTAATATTTCGCAAACAAAAGCACCATAAACCTGTTTTTATAAATTTATACACTGTCCTGGTAAGTACAACGCCACCGCATTAAAAAACATTTTCGAACTGTTTCAATGGAGTCACTTTCGATACAATTCGTATGTTTTTCCTATATATTTTCTATTGAATTTATTTTTCAGTTTGAAAAAAACTATTCAAGAGTTGCAACTATTTCAAGAAATTACTACGACAAACAAATAGTTATAAAATAGGAGGCCATTTATTCCATTTAATTCGGAAATTTAATTAACCTTTATAGTTTAACCATTAGCAGGGGTGTAAAAGAGATAATCATCGTAACTATAAGAAATTTTTAAATTAAATCACAACACGAGCAGAAAATTTAAAACTTGATAAAACTTGATAATTTTGAAAAAAAATTATTAAAGACAAAAATTGATTTATTACCTAGACTAATACACCTGTACCCAAAAATAATGAAAACCGAAAAAAAGAACATTATATTCAAAATGTCTACAATAAATCTACAAAATCAACAATTAAAAGAAAAATAAACAAAAAATAATAAACCAATGCTTTTAGGACTTTGTATATTTTTATACTAGTCTTTTTCTTTATTAGTTCCCTTTCATTTATGCGTCGGTTTAAAGGTAAAACTCATTAAGTAACATTTTTTTGAAAATCGCTTTTAACACTGTCTAAGTGATAATTTTTTGTGCTCTATCGTTTAGAAATACTATCAGGTGCCCTTAAAGCTCCTAAAGCAATAATACAGAAGTGTAAATATCACTAAGTGTGATTTTTATTTTTTTTGTAAAAGGTAAAACTCATTAAAGTCACTTAATTTATGAAGGCGGAAAAAAAAACAAGGGCTACAGCTTTTGCTGGAACGAACTTAATAGAAAAAGAGGCGCTAATGAAATCGCTACAGTACTTTTAAAGTACATAAATGGTGTTTCAAGTAACATTAAGCATTTAACAATGTTTTCAGATACTTGCGGTGGTCAAAACCGTAATCAATATATTGCAGCAGCTCTATTGCATTGCGTTCAAAAACATCCATCGATCGAAGTGATAGAACAGAAATTTTTAGAATCTGGTCATTCGTATATAGAATGCGATTCTATGCATTCGAGAATGCAAAAAAACATCGATCCGCTTTTCTTTCTGAATGATTGGAAGGAGATTTTTCAAATGGCAAGATCTAAAAATAAAACTAGCAAAGATCCTTATATAGTTGAAGAGTTAAAATATAACGACATTTTTGATTTTGAAGAATTTGCTTATGCAACTATTATAAACAAAATTAAAGATGAAAAAGGCAATAAAGTTGAATGGCTAAAAATTAAATGTCTCAAGTATGAAAAACAAAATCCATCTGCTATCTTCTACAAATATTTCCACGAGTCTTCTTTTGAAAAAATAACTGTTAGGGGTAAAGGTAAACAAGCTCTGAATCACGTTCTCAAACCGGCTTACTCTGATCGGCTCTGCATTACTGAACTAAAGAAGAAGGACCTCACAAAGCTATGTGACATCGGTATCATTCCTGAAGAGTTGAGGGCTTGGTATAGGAATCTTCCTTCTGTTAAAAGCAATATAACAGAAGAAAGATTACCAGAACCTGTTGCCGATGAACGTCATGATGAAGAAGATTAAGATTAATTTTATGTTTTATTTTTAATTTTATGTTTTAATTTTAATGGATTTTTAATTTAATTTCTTAATTTTTTTATAATTTATGAATTAATTTTGTCTATTTTGTTTATTTTTGTTATTTTTGTTTCTATTTTTGTTGCATTATTTTTATAAAAATGTTAAATTAAAGTAAAAAAAAAAAATAATAAAAAATTAAATCATTGAATGTAGTGTTTTTTTATCACTAAGTGCAAAAATTTACAAATTACTTCAAAGGTAAAACTTTTTAAGCATTTTTCCAAGGGCTTGGTTAATTTTTTGATATTAGTTAGTTGTGTAGAACTTAGCTTGACAAGAAACCTTTCATCTCACCTCACATCCTGACAATTACATGAGTTTCCCGATTTTGGAAACTTGAAAATCAGTAATTTGCCATTTATTCGTAAACTTAAAAATGCTACTTGATGAGTTTTACCTTTAAACCGACGTATGTATGTATCCAATACATTCCGAATGTACATTATATATATTTGGATTACGAGGTAACCATACCAGCATCACATTACAAGACACAGCTTGGAACTTACTTTTGTGGTTTTCATCAATTTGAAAATAATTTTTTAACATTTTGTGCATTTATATTACTGCTATTATTTTTTGTAATTGTGTTAATATCTCTTCATACGGATCTACATATATACGAGTATAAAACTACTATTAGATACATCACATGGTGTTCTACCATTACCGTACATTGTAAACATTCATATAAACTTAAAAATAAATTCGTGTGAGATTAACATAAAATTATTGTGCAGCTATGTATAAATGTGGATATACCTACACAACACACAAAACTTATTATGGAACATTTTCAATCCACATGTAATTAACTTTAATGAGAATATAGACAGTTTGGGTTTTGTTCAACGATTGTTAGGAAAAGAAATACAAATGAAAAATCCCAGGTTTTTGGTTTATTTATTCATCGCTATAAAAGGTAGAAATATTGTTTATTGTGATCCAAGATAATTAATAATTTTTATTTATTATGTGTATAATGCTTGTATACATATGTATATACATCTATGTCCATATATGTTGTGTAAGTTATTATTCTATCTTATTCGTTCAATATTCTTATAAAAGGTCTTAATTTAATAAAGGTATAGGTAGAGTTCTTTTTGTATAGGAAACTCTATGGATATCTAGTTGCATATGAATTTTTAACCTAAAATGAACATATATGTACATATATATACATTGAATAAAAAAAGCTTTTTTGTTATTTTATTTTTTAAATATTTTTGAGATTTGATGGCAGCTTTAGGCGAAACTGAGTATCATCGGAATATAATCTAAACGAGTTGGTAAAAAATATTCATATAATACCCACATATATAACATGGAATTGCGTACATATAAATACATGAACACTTTAGACATGATAGACATCTTATGACAAGAGTATGCGTATATATGGTAAATATCAGTGCAAGATAATTATTATTTATAGTTGTTTAAGTTATGCCCTAAGGAAGGATTATCTCTTTTATGGAAATTTTCATATATTTACTTTTATGGCAACAAATAAGCAGGATTCCACAAAAACAGAAGCTGCATAGATCACTTCAATACATTAAGAATCATAGTCAAACGAATGGAACAGTCCCCTCTACTGCATATTCATTGCCTTGAAAAGGCATTTGACACGATCAAGCAAGAGACCATCTGGTATGCATTATATCACAAAGGCGTCCCAACAAATATTATAAACATAATTAAGGCTATATATGAAAATGCGCAATCCAGAATACTACACGGCGGCCAGCTAAGAGCACCTATCAAAATAAATTCAGGAGTCAGACAGTAGTGGTGCTCAACGATGTAATGCGGAGGGTTAATGAAACAGCTGAAAGTTTTACATGGAACGTGACCTACAGATTAGAAGATTTGGACTACGCCGATGATATCTGCCTCTGAGCAAGAAAAATTTAGATTGTTTAAAGCAGAAGTTGCCAAAGTCGGCCTCAAGATCAACGCCAAAAAAACGAAATGCCTTAAAATAATAAATACAAAATCAAATACATCTCTACAACTGAATAACAACAAAATAGAAGATGTGCTACAATTAAATTAGATGGGCAACATTTTAGCAAAAGGTGTAGGTGCAAAGAATGATTCTGAATGATAATATTCAGCGTCATTAAAGTACTCGTATTGTTTAAAAGCCACGCTACTATTCGATTGGGAAGATTGGTTGACTGACGCAGCCTGTATCAACAGAATACAAATATGTACCTGAGGATAATATCTAAAGTGTTCTGGCCCATGACAATACAAACGAAGAGCTCTGGGTAATTGCAGAACAGAAACCTATAGACATAACAATAAAAGAAAGAAAGTGGAGATGTTTATGTCACACTCTACGAAAAGCCAACAGCACTCAACACCGGTTCAAAAATTGATTAAAAAAGATTCGCTAGTTAAAGCTTTTATTTGTTTGTTTTATTTTTTTTATTTCGTATGTTTTAGTATAAAAAAGAGAAAATGTAAATTAGCAAACTTTAGTATTTTAAGAAGAAAAAAAAAGTATTTAAAACGTAAATTTTTTAAAAAAAAGTCTAAGTTTTTATTTAAAGAGTAATTTTGACATTTGCCTTTCTTTACTTCTGCACTTTTCACCATTATATACTAACCTTGTCAACATTTACAAGATTTTGATTTGAAATTTAAACTGTTCCTCCAGTTCTTAACCTCTTTTGTCTATAATTGCCTACCGCACTGCATTCAACTAGGAATGTTGTGTGATGGCACCAAATTTCGCATATCGAATTTTCGAAGGGAATGCGAAACTTTTCGATGGTAGGGAAGTGTAAATAAACTACTTTAGAGAAATTTTAGTCTGTTTGACTCTCTGTCTGTCGGTTCGTGTGTACACGTGCATCTCAAGTTCAGCTGAACCAATTTTGGTAAACCCTTGTATATGAGCTTGATCAACTTTTGGGATATGTCAGGTTTCGGGAACGGAAGTTTTTTCTTGGCCGATTTTACATTTTTGCACACATAAAGGGAAATAATCAACAGATTTTCTTGAAATTTTATATTTAAATTTGGGGTCCTAAAATACTGAACTTATAAATTTTTTACCATATCTATGAGACTAACTGATTGAATTTATTTAAATTCAATATTTCAAATAAATACCGAAACGGTTGTTACCTAAGTTAATTGACGAAATATTCAGGGAATTCGGATGACAGAAAATAAAACTCTTCTGAGAGCCGAATTTAAGTTTTTCTAGCTATGTTAAATCAAAGCTTACTGACGTCCTGCAAATTGCAAAGAAGTGTTTAAAAGGCATTTTCATAATCTTCTGAAACACTTTCTCTAAATTTAAACCAAATCAATTGCTTAATATGTTCTGTTTTCTCTTTAACATATTTCCGTTTTTGTGAGAGGTACATTAATCAATTTTAGATGAGTATATAATGTTACTCCATCACGTAGTTTTCTTCGCAGCAGCGTTGATGAAATTACAGATGACTGTTACTGTACAGCTGCTCTTGTTAAAATTGATTTAATGTTATCGCATAAAACAATATTAAAACATTTTTTCTAATTTGTTATAAAAAGAGGATACCTGCTGCTGAGATAAACATGAAAAATTATAAACAAAGAAAATATGAACAAAACAAAAACACTTTTTGAAAAAGTGTAAAAAATAAATTTTCAAATACACAAAAAGAAAAAATAATGAAATAATGATAAAATAAAAAAATAAAAAAAAATAAATAAATGAAATAAATAAAAAAAAAAAATAATGAAAATACAAAAAATAGAAAAAATCTGATGTGGTCAACACAAAACTGACCGCAATGTATATTGTCTAACTAAGGGAAACTATTACAGAAGGTTATAAAAAGGAAAAACGTCTTATATTTTTCCAGTTTTTAGGGCGGTAGTAAGCTTCTAGTTAATATACATAGAAAAATGTAAATTCAGTTCTTACTAGAGTTTCACTTCATGCTATCTGAATTCCCTGAAATGCTTGCTAGATAATTTTGGTAACTACCAGAGTTCAAATATCAAATTTCACGTAATTCCTTCAATCCGTTCCGTAGATATGGTAAAAAACGTAAAATTGACCCCCAGTTTGGTTTCCGAGCCCTGATCCCAAAAGTTGACCAATCTGTGACATTGCCAAAACAAACTCACATATAAAATTTCATGAAAATTGGTTCAGCTGAACTTAAGATACACGCGTGCACATACAGATAAACAGACCGACAGATCGACACCTCTCTAAAAATAGTTTATTTACGCTTCTCTAGTATGGAGAAGTGCGTTCCCACTGAAAACTCGATATGCAACATTTGTTGCGATCACATCACCTCTCTTATTGTATGCAATGCGGGTCGGTAAAAAAGAAATTAAAAAAAAGCAAATAATGTGTTTTGCCAACCTGGAAAAATATGGAACAGAAAGGAAGAATCACAGTAAGCTAAAAAATGACTTTATAAAAGAGAAAATAAAATTAAGTTTGTTTTAATTTTCAAATTAATTTTTCTAACTTGCGCTTTTAATAAAATCTACAGCGTCCATCTACTTTATTTGCCTCACAAGAAATAAACTGTAATAAAGTTGGGTCAAACCAATGGTTTGTATTGTAGCACTTTTCCCTTCAACAAATGAAAATTTTGCTTTTAAATACAGTCTATGTGTACCTATCACATTATTAAAATTATTTTCATTCATATACAAAATTATTTCTAGGATTGCATATATTTAGGATGATGCATACATGCAGGCTTTGAAATAAAGCAAAAATTAATATAAAGTGGGGTTAACATAATGCTCGATTTTAAGGGTTAATTGTGTGAGTTAAGAAAAATAATTATATTTTTTAATGTCAAGGGATTAACCGTTAGCTTTTTGTATTTATAGAAATTTGAAAAAGCTTGCGGTTTCGGGAATATAAGGCTTTAAAAATTCAAATTTTACAAATTTCAAGAGGCGATAACTTGAAAGGGGGGTGGAGATAGAAAAAAAATTTTCTGCTATTGAAATAAAGTATTTATTAGTGTCTAAAAACTGCTGAAATTTCAGGCTACTACAGGCTAGGGTCTAGAAGAAAAACGAAATCAAAAATTTGGAAAAAAAGACTTTAGATAACGGTAAAGCTTAACTATAGTATACCGCGCTAGGGAAAGCAAGCCGCTGCCTTTATGGGTTTGCAAAATTTCAAAAATGCTTATGGTTTCATTGAACAAACAGTTAAAAAAAGGCCATTTTTAAGGTTTTGGGGTGGTATAACTTCTAGGGTGGGGAAGATAGGTAAAATTTTGTTCTACGGAAATAAGTTTCTATTAAACATCTATATACATACAAAATTTCAGCTTTCTATCTTCAAGGTTGTAGAAGTTTTGTAAACAAACACACGGACGGACGGACGGTCGGACAGACTGACGGACAGAGTGAAACTAATAAGCACTTTTTTTCAAAAATTTTTTGGAAAAGTGCTATAAAGTAAATATATACATACATGCATATATAAGAACAAGATTTATGCACATAAATATGTAGTGTACCGCCGGTCGTAGTATCAATTAAACTTATGTTGTTCAGAAATGAAAATGAAATTTGTCAAAAATTATTGTACATATATTTATTATAACTACATCCATACCTATACATCATTTTTTATTTTAAGTAGTTTAAGAGGAACTTTTTGTTTAGTTTTGAAAAATTGTTGAGTTTAGTTTTAAAAGCTTTTTGTTTAGTTGGAAATTTGAATGCATTTTCAAAAAAAATTTATTTAAAGATAAGAAGTGGAATATAGAGTTCTTTGAAATATTTCCGCAATACCGGAAGAACTACCAAATAAACTAAATCGTAACTATTGAGAAAAACGTATATAATATTAAAAGTTAAAACATTTTTAATTAAGTTAAGTTTTTGTAACCAATTTATTAAAACAATTTTAAAATTGCAAATTATAAAATTATTTTCTACAACGGACAATATTTTTACGTTAAAAGCGAATATTTTCTACACTTCATACATTATACAAACGTAAAAGCTGAAAAGCGAATAAAGAAAGCTATTACTCGTATAGTAATATTGACATTATTTATAATTTATATAAATATTTTAGAGACATTGAGTGTTTATTATATACAATATATTTAGAGACTCACATATACCACTTTTGTCCCTTGTCCATAAATGTGTAAAAAAAAGCTTAATTTTTTTTATTTTAAATATCTATTTGTTTCAATCTTAATAAGTATATAAAATAAATATATTTTTTATTTAAAAACAACTGTAATTAGAAAAATCTGATCTTTTCAGCACATAACCGACCGCAATATGCATTGTCTTGTTCAGTGATGTCCAACAGGAATGGTTTCTTTGGCAGAAATTTTTTTTTACTGGTTCATGTGGGCACATTTAAAAGAAAAACAAGTAAAAACGTTTCAGTCGGTATAAACCGATTGAATTATACCCTGCACCTTTCGTTATTGTGTAGCAATTACTCGAACCTGTGAAGTCATCCTATAGAAACTTCACGGATATGTCTGACCTATAATTGGACATCCGACTGCCAAGTTTCATGAATCTGACTTTATAATTTTTCCAAATATTTAAAATTAGCTTTTGGAGTTGTATGGCAAGTCCCCGAACTTGTCAAGCAATTCCACTAAAACTTCACAAATATATCTGATCTATAATCGGACACACGACTGCCAAGTCTCATGAATCTGACTTTATTATTTTTCCAAATTTTTAAAATAAGCTTTTAAACTTGTATGAGAGCTACTCGAACCTGTCAAGCAATACCACTAAAACTTCAGAAATATATCTAACCTATAACTCGACACAAAACTGCCAAGTTTCATGAATCTGACTTTATTATTTTTCCAAATATTTAAAATTAGCTTCTGGAGTTGTATGGCAGGTACCCGAACCTGTCAAGCAATTCCTCTAAAACTTCAAAAATATATCTGATCTATAATCGGACATCCAACTGCCAAGTTTCATGAATCTGACTTTATTATTTTCCCAAATATTTAAAATTAGCTTCTGGAGTTGTATGGCAGGTACCCGAACCTGTAAAGCAATTCCTCTGAAACTTCAGAAGTATATTTGACCTATAATTGGACACATGACTGCCAAGTTTCATGAATCTGACTTTATTATTTTGCCGAATATAAAAAATTTGCTGTTGGAGTTGTATGGCAGCCACCCGAACCGGTGCATCTATCCCATTATAATTTTTAGAGCATATGTAGAATATAATTGGACACATGTATACAAAATTTTATATTTATAGCTTTATTAGTTTTTGAAATATTTAAAATAAACTCTTTGAGTTGTATGGCAGCTACCCGAACCCGTTGTCCGAATTAGTCCAATAACAATAGGGCTCGTCCTTGGCACAAAAGAAAAAACTTGTGAAAGTTTGGTGTCGATTGCATTATTCGTTTTTGAGTTATCGTGCGATCGGACGGACGGACGGACGGACGGACGGACGGACGGACGGACGGACGGATGGACATGTCGAAATCGACGCAGAATTTTACGCTGAGCAAGAATATATATATATGTCCATACCGCAGATGACTCCTTCAAGTAGTTACAAACTCCATACCAAAGTTAATATAGCCTTCACGAAGTGCAGGGTATAACAAAAGTATTTAATTCAGTAACTTTATTTAATTTTATTCATAAAATCGAAATCATATTAAAATTTAATGTGAAGCTTGTTTTTTTAAATTATCTGCTAATTTTTGAATATCAACTGGCAATTTTGTTGACGCACAACGCAGTTGATTCGTCATATTTTCATCGGTCAGCCTATTCCGACTCTTCGATTTGACTATTTTCAATTTCGAGAAAAAAGATTCGCAGAGATAGGTTGTTCCAATTGCAGCTGTAATGCACATTGCCAGTTGTTTCAGATTAGGAAATTTATCATCGTGAATATATTTTCTGTAAAATTCATTGGCTTCAAACATGTATTTCAGTTCCGTGTTTGATTGGAGATCTATTAATTCAATTTGAAAATTCGAAGGTGCTGATTGTACATCTTCGTTATATGGACTAGGATGGATGAAATTTTTTCATACTTTTGCATATGCGAGAATCTGTCTTGGAAAACTTTTAACAACTTTGTGACTTCGTTTTCATATTTTGCAAAATCTTTCTGTTCACTATTAAAATGATTTAATAGTGGAAAATGAATGGCAATTTTTGACTTTAATTGACTTTCATAAAATTTGAGCTTTATTACGAATGATTTTATATCTTGATAGCAGTCTGTAATCAATTTATTTTCACCTTGAAGTTTCAGATTTAGGTCATTTAATTTTGTTGTTATATCTGTAAGAAAACATAAATCTAGAAGCCATTGTTCATCGTAGAATTCGGTAATATCGTGGCCATTTTCTTTCATAAAAATTCGAATTTCCTCTCTTAAGTTCCAAAATCTTTCTAAGCATTTTCCACGGCTGAACCACCAAATTTTAGCGTAAAAAAGTAGATCACTATATTCAGATTCCAGTTCACGAAGATAATCCTGAAATTGTCGATGCTTCAATGCATTATTCTTAATTGAGTTAATGGTCGTAACTACAACCGCCATTACATGTGACATATTCAGCACTTGTGCACATAAATTTTCACATAAAAAGTTCAAAAGAATTAGTTTTTTGCAAGGTTTCTTTGTGGCCAAGAATCAAGTTGACTGCACCAACATTTTTTCTAACCATTGCAGGCGCTCCGTCTGTCGCGATTCCTATGAGATTTTTCAAATCAATCTGGTGAACTTGCATGCAATTTATAACAGCTTCTTTGATATCTCTTCCGGTTGTTGTATCTTTTAAACTCCCAAGTTTAAGAAGTTCTTCTGTCACATTCATTTGTCTGTCAACACCTCTGATAAAAATAGCAAGCTGAGCAGTATCCTTAATATCTGTTGCTTCATTCAAAGCCAATGAAAAATATACAAAATTTTTTGAAAATAAGCATAGTGTTGCACAAATTTCTGTTGAAATATCATTAATTCTTCGTGCTACAGTTTGATGGGAAAGACTGATTTGAGTAAAAAGCTGGGCTTTTTCTGGATAGATTTCTTCAACTGCGGCAACTAGGCATTCTTTGATGTAGTCACCATCCGCGAATGGTTTCATTTTTTTCGCAATAATATTAGAGATTTTTATGCTGGCACTAACAATAGCATTTGATTGTACATGTTGCTTACGCAAAAAGCTCTGTTGTGCTCCCAGATTGTCCTTAAGTAGTTTTAGTTTTGCTTTTCTTTCACCAACAGTAAGTTCTGCAATTTCACTATGTTTTTGTTCAAAATGTCTTTTCAAGTTATATGATTTCAACGTTGAAATGGAGTCACGACAAATTAAACATATAATTTTGTCTTTTATTTGAATGAAAAAGTATAATTCTTCCCACTCACGGAACTTTCTGTTTTCATCTGCAACTTTTCTTTTCTTCTTTTCCGCCATGATGAAAATAATAATTGTTTTTTTTTAAAAGAATTTAAATTGTAATTTTCAGTTGAACTAATTTTTACTGTAATAGTGTAGCTCAAGTTTAACAATAAATGATTATAAATTGACACCAAAAAATTTTAGCTCTTTAAAAAGTGAAAAAAAAAAAATTAAAGATTACAGTTATCTGGTCTAGCCAAAAAATCAAGTTGTTATAAAATAAAACATATTACATAAAATCATTCGCACTTACAAATCAAATCCGAACAAAATTTTTTTTTTTCACTTCTTGTTTTTGTTTCTGTCTTTTTTTTTTTTCATTATTTTTAAAAACTAACAAGTAAAAACGTTTCAGTCGGTATAAACCGATTGAATTATACCCTGCACCTTTCGTTGTTGTATAGCAATTACTCAAACCTGTGAAATCATTCTATAGAAACTTCACGGACATGTCTGACCTATAATTGGACATCCGACTGCTAAGTTTCATGAATCTGACTTTATTTTTCCAAATATTTAAACTTTTGGACTTGTATGGGAGCTACTCGTAGCTGTAGAGCAATTCAACCAAAACTTCAGAAATATCTTTGACCTATAACTCGACACACAACTGCCAAGTTTCATGAATCTGACTTTATTATTTTTCCAAATATTTAAAATAAGCTTTTAGAGTTGTATGGCAAGTACCCGAACCTGTCAAGCAATTCCATCAAAACTTCAGAAATATGTCTGACCTATAATTGGACACACGACTGCCAAAGCTCATGAATCTGACTTTATTATTTTTCCAAATATTTAAAATAAGCTTTTGGAGTTGTATGGCAAGTACCCGAACCTGTCAAGCAATTCCATCAAAACTTCAGAAATATGTCTGACCTATAATTGGACACACGACTGCCAAAGCTCATGAATCTGACTTTATTATTTTTCCAAATATTTAAAATAAGCTTTTAGACTTGTATGGGAGCTACTCGAACCTGTCAAGCAATTCCACTAAAACCTCAGAAATATATCTGGCCTATAACTCGACACACAACAGTCAAGTTTCATGTATCTGACTTTATTATTTTTCCAAATATTTAAAATTAGGTTCTGGAGTTGTATGGCAGGTACCCGAACCTGTCAAGCAATTCCTCTAAAACTTCAGAAATATATTTGACCTATAATTGGACACATGACTGCCAAGTTTCATGAATCTGACTTTATTATTTTTCCGAATATAAAAAATTTGCTGTTGGAGTTGTATGGCAGCTACCCGAACCAGTGCAGCTATCAGATTATAATTTTTAGAGCATGTGTAGAATATAATTGGACACATGTATGCAAAATTTTATATTTATAGCTTTATTAGTTTTTGAAATATTTAAAATAAACTCTTTGAGTTGTATGGCAGCTACCCGAACCCTTTGTCCGAATTAGTCCAATAACAATAGGGCTCGTTCTTGGCACAAAAGAAAAAACTTGTGAAAGTTTGGTGTCGATTGCATTATTCGTTTTTGAGTTATCGTGCGATCGGACGGACGGACGGACGGACGGACGGACGGACGGACGGACGGACGGACGGACAGACGGACATGTCTAAATCGACGCAGAATTTTACGCTGAGCAAGAATATATATATATGTCCATACCGCAGATGACTCCTTCAAGTAGTTACAAACTCCATACCAAAGTTAATATACCCTTCACGAAGTGCAGGGTATAAAAACTATTATTTTCTTATTTTCTTTTTATTCTAATTTGGCCTATGATTTTTATGTGTGTTTTTTGCTGTTTTTATTCTAAGTTGAAACTTTATGAAGGTAAAAATATTTTGTTCCACAGGGCCGCAAAAAATCTTCAATGGGGCCGCATGCTGATCTTCATAATGATCAAAAACGAAAAACAGGCCCGTTAAAAAGTGCACTTCCTGAGACCAGATATACACGGTGATTCAGTAATCAGTGACATAAAGTATACCATCATTTGCAGCATCAAAAAATAGTAAAATTCTTGTTTAGAGCTAAGACTTTTAAAGAATATTCACGTAATTTCTACTTGCCCAAGTTTTTTTGCTTATAACTTCGTTTCCGAAAAAGATGGAAGCTTCAAATAAGCAGTTTTTAAAATGGCTAGCAGTGTTCCCACTCAATAAAAACAAAATGTATCCAATTTCGAGAAAAAAGTGTATTCAAAATGTATCCAGCCACCTAAAGTAGAAGTATTATATTAAGTCGTCTTATTTTATACCAATAAACTCATAAATAATATTAATTTGCTTTATTCAACAATGTGAGTTTCGTTATTTATAGTAAATTCTTTTAGAAATCACACGCAATTTCTATTACATTTTAAAATTTAAGGTCAGAAAATAGATACAATTACAGAACAACTGTTGAACTTTACGGTAAAAACGATTCAGCATGAAAACGGGCAAATTTTATTTAGTCAGCAAATAACATTTTTTGGAAGATAAAGCAATTTCACGATTTAATATTGGTAGCACTTTAAAAGTTTTGTACCATTTATTTAGTGTTCGAGACAGAAATGTATCCATATTTCAGCAAAATTTTAAAATGTAGCCAATTTCGACATTTTAGCAGATTTGAGTATCTTTGTATCCAAGCTAAATTTTAAAGCAAAAATGTATCCAAATGGATACAATTGTATCCAAGTGGGAACGCTGATGGCTAGTACTTGGCTTGAATGCAACATATTACTTACTTTGTATTTTATGTACTTTCAGAATACCATGTATTCGAACTTTGGAAAAAAGCTAAATTTTCACTTTTTTTATTTTTTTTATTTTTTTCTAACCCGGTAATACTAGTGCTGCCAGGTGCAATCTGACACTTCCATTGGAAAGTTTGACATTTTTTAGGACAACTTCACTCAGAACGTTTTGTCATTCGAGCGCGAATTGTTTTGTTTACAGTGACTTGAAAAATTCATCTCGGTCAAAAAATGGAATTGTCCCGTGAAAATTTTCGTGCGATGATTTTTTACGATTTTCGGCGCGGATTATCGAGACAAGAGTGTCTCGATCAACTTGTTTCGACTTTTGGTGATGAAGCACCATCAAAAACCACTGTAAATCGCTGGTACCAAGAGTTTGGTTTCGGACGCCGTTCGCTCCAGGATGAATTTCGTGAAGGTCGGCCAATTTCGGTCGTTTTGCCGGAAACCATCGATGCTGTGCGCGAAATGATAATGATGGACCGGCATGTGACATACTGTGAGATTGAGGCATCCTTGGGCATTAGTTCCACCAGCGTACATAATATATTGCATGAACATCTTGCCGTGAAAAAGGTGTGTTGTCGATGGATCCCAAAAAATTTGACGATTGCACAAAAGAAGGCTCGTGTCGATTGGAGCAAAGAAATGTTGAAAAAATTCAATCGCGGTGCGTCAAAAGACGTTTATAAGATAGTCACAGGTGATGAATCATGGATCTATGCATATGAGCCCGAAACGAAACAGCAATCGACCGTATGGGTGTTCCAAGACGAGCCAAATCCAACAAAAGTTGTTCGTGGAAGAAGCACATCGAAGCAAATGATCGCGTTTTTTTTTGGTATAACCGGTGATGTGGCCACAGTACCTTTAGTGGAACGTAGGACGATCAATTTTGAATGGTACACCACCATCTGTTTGCCGAAAGTTTTCGAAGAAATAAGGAAAACAAACAAGCGCCGGCGAATCATTCTTCATCATGACAATGCAAGCTCTCACAAATCAGCTGAAACAATGGACTATTTGAGCACTCAAAATGTCGAATTGATGGGTCATCCGTCGTACAGTCCTGATTTAGCACCCAATGACTTCTTCTTATTCCCTCACATCAAAAAAAAAATGCGTGGACAACGATTTTCAACACCTGAAGAAGCAGTCGATGCGTTCAAAAACCATGTTTTGGAGGTGTCTCAATCGGAATGGAAAAAGTGCTACGAAAATTGGTTTCAGCGCATGCAAAAGTGTATTGATCTTCATGGGGAATATTTTGAAAAACAATAAAACCATTTCCAATGATAAATGTTTGTTTTTTATTGCTAGACCCGAAATATAAATAGTGACCCTCGTACGAAATTTTTTGAAACCTTTTGAAATGAATTTGTTTGCGGAACTTGAAAAATCCTATTCCTACGTGAAAAATGCTATTAATGCTTAACTTTTATTATAAAATTATTATTCATTTATAAAAATAGCTTTGTTGTACATAAATACATATGGGTCCTTATACATATCTATGTTTTCAGACATATGCTCTAAAACAGTGAATAAAATTATAAAACATCTTAAAAATGAAATTTTACTTAGAGGAATAACCCTTCGAAAATAAGTTATTGAAAACAATATGACTATGTATTGGCAAATTTAAAAAAAATGTGTACATATGTATATTATATCGTCTATTTGAAAAGCTTTTAATTCGTTTCGATAGAAAATATAAATTTTGTAGAAAATCAGATCTGAAATTTTATTTTTATAGAACGAAATTTGGCTATGTATTCCAGAAGTTATAGCTGTTTAAAATTTTGAAAACGCACTTTTTAGATTTGTTGTCCAAATAAAAGTTAATTCTTTCCTACCTCTACAACCTCCAAACCACGGAGCTTCTTGTTGTAAATAAACAATTTTGCTGTTTTTATTTAAATATAACTATAACATGTATGTATGTATAGGTATTAGGAAAAGTTTTTTTTATATTCTTTTTTCCTGCTCCCTCTACAACTTCATTTATTCGATTAAAATCTTTTAAATTACCAACAATAATAATTTAAACCATTTTTAAAATTTATTTCAGAAATGATAAAAAGTTTTGAATTTAAAAATTTCGATTTTATTATTCTATTCAAGTTTACTATTCAAAAATCAAAATAAAAGTTTTAAAACAAAGAATTTTTAACCAACTCGAAATAACTATTCGAGATCCTGTTAAAAAATTTATTTTCCTTTTGTTTTGTAATATTGAAAACCCAAAACTGACATACTTTAGAAAATATTTTCATCATTTTTGATAAAATTAGAAAATT